CCCACACAGAATCTGCTCCTGTAGGATTTATTTAGTCCCTCATTTACAAAGTTCTACACATAACGTTAATATAATAATAAAATGTTTTGATAAAAAAAAAAAATGTAGTAATAAACCAATTCAGCAAAAATATTTAATAATAATTAATGCATATGCATTTCTTGGTCAATAATATAAATTTGTGACCGTATTTACTAGGGCTGGGTAAAAAAAATATCGATTTCACTATTTTAATCTATTATCGTTTTTATGAACCGATATGGATTATTAAATCCCAAGAATTGATCTTTTAGTCTCTGCTGTTTTCAAATGATGAATGAACAGAACATTATATCGTGCCTCCCATCTAATAAATCACTATAACTTTTGAACTTTACTTTTGATATGAAATGTCTCAGATTTCAAATTGAAGAACCGAAACCCAGTGTATAGGCGCTTCAGCACGGAATAGGCTATACATTACGCCTATATAATATATAGTATATAGCTATATTTGAAGTCTCCAAGAAATCAAAATTTATGTTTTTGTTTTTGTATGAATATGTTAGCCTTACTGTTATCTATAAGCTGAAATCGGTCACTTGTTCTCACAATTACTATTTTCTACATGGTGAATGCCACATAGTGCACTATATAGGGGGCAGGGAATGATTCGGACAGTGTAAATATGCTTTTCATTGGGGCAAATGAAGTGTGGTTTTTCACATTAGGGTCACGTGATCCTGCTTCATTTTAGAGACACAAAAGGACACATGGAGTTTTTCGGTTCCTTGCCTCTGTTGCCTTTGGCTTGCTCAGTTGGGGATATTCAAATTAAATGACCCATCATACCACTGATCAGCTCTACCAAACTTGGATGTCTTTTCCAGTAATAAACAAACACTGTTAAGTTGTTTTGATTGATACTGTGAAGCAGCTTTGATACAATCTGTATTGTGAAAAGCGCTATATAAATATATTTGACTTGACTTGACAAAAGCACAGAGCGAATCTCATGCGTGAGTCGGCGCAGACCACAAAACGTATAGGACCCATTTAAATTATGTACAGAATGCTATATACATAGTCATGAGGAGGATGTGTAGTTTTAGTAACAGTTTCATATTAAATCTAAAAGAGGAATCTATTAGACAGTGGCTGTCAAATGCGGCTTTACTGAGCTCAACGTCTCTGGCCTAGCTGTGATATAAATGAAACGCTATTGGCTGTTTTTAAAAAGGGGAGGAGCTGTTCTATATGTCCCGCTCTGTCTTCCTGTTTCAGTGGAGATTACGTCAACACATTAAATAATGCTGTGAAAATAGTTCAGTGGGCCTTTAAGAAATGAAATTAATATAAATGAATGATTAGTCGACTAATGGCTTAATTGTACAACTAATAGTAGACTAGAAAAATCTTTAGTCAGGGGCAGCCCTAATTAATACCGTTTTAATGTGGCGTGACAGATCGCTGTTGCTGCCTCAGATCTAGCGAAGCAGCAGTGAACTGATCATCTCTTCCTCTTTACTACCAGTTACAGCGCAAAATAAACATAAATGGAAAAAGATACAGTACAACTTACCGACATGCCTACTGTATTTATTTAGTACCAACTGGCTCACCAGCCCTAATATTTACTTTCAATATTTTCAAAGCAATTATCAGTTACTGCTGTCATATTTTCTGTACAGTATTAGTAAGCGGTGTTAAGATGTTTTGGAAGCATTCTAAAAGTTATTTTACCATTTAAAAAAAAAAAAAAAAAAAAAAGTTACTGCATTTATGTTCTATTTAATTTATGTATTGACTGTGAATGTAGGGAATATGTTGCTCTAACTTTTGCTGTTTTTCTCAGTGTATGCTGATGGCAGTATCTGCCTAGATATTCTTCAGAATCGTTGGAGTCCAACTTACGATGTTTCTTCTATTCTGACATCAATTCAGGTGTGTTAATTAACTTTGTTTTATAGTCCAGTAAAAAAACAAAACAAAAACGGCTTTCTGTTGCATTTTGACATTATTAAATCTGAGAATTGTCTAGAATGCTTGTTTTGATTTGTGGTTTAGAGAGTGCAGTTTTGCTTGCAATACTTCAAAATGTAACTTAAAATTTAAAGGGATACTCCACCGTTTTTTCATATTAAACTGTTATTCCCTTAACTAAGACGAGTTGATACATACCTCTCTCGTCTCAGTGCGTGCACTCAATCGCTCTGGCGCGCGAGACACTGTGATAGCACTTAACTAGCCCAGTTCATTCAATACGGGCCAAGCAGAGAAGCGAGCAAACACCTCCACGTTTTCCCTATTTAAATACAGTTACACGAGTAGTGTAACTCGACCAAGAATGGTGACACAAAATAAAACGTTGCGCTTTTCTAAGCGTGTAAAGTGGATAACTATAATGTATGGTGGAATACCATAGCAAGTGCTTGGGAGCACTTCGACTCGGCGCATATATATATATATATATATATATATGGACTCGGTGCAGTAATATCATCACTCCGGAGAGGGAGAGGATTTTTCACGAGTGATGATATTACTGCGCCGAGTCAAAGTGCTCCCAAGAACTTGCTGTGGTATTCCGCCATACATTATAGTTATCCACTTTACACGCTTAGAAAAGCGCAACGTTTTATTTTGTGTCACCATTGCTTGGATCCTAATGAATGAACTGGGCTAAGTTAAGTGCTATCAAAGTGTCTCGCGCGCCAGAGCGATTCAGTGCACACACTGAGACGAGAGAGGCATGTATCAACTCGTCTTAGTTAAGGGGATAACATAGTTTAATATGAAAAAACGGTGGAGTATCCCTTTAAAATGGACCCTTTTCACATTTCGGAAGTCGTCATAGTTGGGTAAACTTCTATAGCGGGGAACGGGAGACGACAGCAAATATAATTTTTGTATTTCCATTTGCTCCAAAAAATCTGTGCTGGAGTTTTCACGACTTTCCAAAAGAGTAAAAAAATATAGAGATTGATTACGTTGGTCAGAAGAGAGAAAGATATCAAATTTGTCATCACTCCTTCAGTTGGTCTATTAGAAACACCCTTTAAAAGCGTTCATTTGTTTTTGTTTTCATTTGTTTTTTTTACTGACAAGGTAATGTAAAACATTATATAGTTATAAATGTATAAAAAAAATGTTTATGAAAATATAAAAAGCTTTACTAGACATGGGATGTTGATAACTGTAAACGTGTCATCACAGTATGTGAAAAGGTTATACCTTTGAGGCCTAAAATTTGATTTCTCTTTCTTTACAGTCGCTTCTAGATGAGCCCAATCCCAACAGCCCCGCAAACAGCCAGGCAGCACAACTGTATCAAGAAAATAAACGAGAATATGAGAAACGGGTGTCAGCCATTGTAGAGCAGAGCTGGAGGGACAGTTGACCACATTCTCAAAACCATGTTCTCACTGAAACTTTGTTTTCCTTTTGTTTGGCTCTGTTGTTGGAGGATAGTTTTTCTAATCTCCATTTTTAAGTTTTCATGCACTTTACTCATGCAAGATTGTGATTTGTTTTTTTTTTCTTTTGTTTCGTTTTATTTCTCTCCCACATTTTTGCCTGGACTGATTTTCAGCCCGCATTAAGATCACTGAAAGGGGAAATACCCCTGGTGTATAAGGCTCGACTAATTTTGCATCCGGCATGAACATGCAGTAATTGTCCATATTTGCAAAATGCATTTGCATCTCTAAAGAAAAACACATTATGGATGATTCAATCAAGGCGTTCTAATCTGGATACACATGACTCATTAAGAGACTTTAATCTAAGTCATAGTAGTGTTGATGAAAATGTTCTTGGTGCTTCATTGCCAATTTTAATATCATGCCGTTAAAAGTGTCCTTTTAATTTCTGTTTTGCTTCCATTTTTTTTCTGGATTCGTTATGCTGATTTAGTCACGACTCTTCTTGGCTCTGCCAGAGGATGGTTGGCATGTTACCACAAGAGTGGTAAGAATCTATAGTACGCACTGAAAACACATTCAATGTTGGTAGACAGATGTGAGGGTTTATATAAATGGTCAAAATATGTTGACAGAAAATGGCAATATGTGTGGAGTATAAAATATATATATTTACTAGTTGAAAAAAAAAAGAGATTTTGCTGGAATTCAAAAATGTCACAAATATCCTTTAAAATACTATTGAGATATACATTCACTGCAGTTATTTACTGGTCATGGCTTGCATCACAAGTCCAATCAATCAAGTCAAATAATGTCTTCAGGTCTTTTTCCAAGCCCTTAATCTTTGCAGATGTATTCCCTGTTACATGCATGAATGGCCGAGCGTGTCCTTTCCTCTACTAATCTTGTATATACAAAATTTTGTGTACAGATTTTGCACTGGTTGGCAGTCTCATTTTCCAGCACTTGTAAATAGGCTACTTAAATAAAAGGTGAAACTACCTTTGTGAGTAATGCATAATTTCTTAATACCTGTTCAGTTTTCACACCGAGAATGCTAACTACAGAAGATACTTATAACAATAACTTTATTAGTTAGTTATTATTTCGGTCGACTTCAACAGAAAAGGGAAAAGTGTGTTAGTGTTTACACCAGCAGACAATATTATTTTGTTTGTTCTAAGCTTTTGACGTTCATCAGTTGTAAAAAAAATAATAATCTGAAAGTGTTTCCAACGATATTGTTTATCTGTGGCGTTATAGTTGTGCTGAGGACTGCTATTATTGTGTATTTAGAAGGATTTTTGGCACCATATCATCATTATCGTTATAGTAATAGCAGTTCTTTTCTATTTACTAAAACGGAGCCTTTCATCTTTCCATTTAATAACACAATTTTCAAAACTAACACAAAGTTAGTTGAAACCATAGACTGTAAAAAAAAAAAAAAACGATCACACAATTATTGTAAGAAACCGAGAACATGCAAAGTGGATGATGCAACACAGAAGAGTTAAAGACACATTTTTTGGCCCACATTTGCGATGTACTTTAAGGCCTCGTCTAAATGTTTACTTAAAACAACACTACAAGAAGCATGGTTTATTATTTTTTTAATGAACATATGTACAGTTATGCAAAGCATAAATACAAAACCGATAGTTGAAAATGATTTTTACAAAAATGCATTATACTTGTGGTTGGATGAACAGGATACTTCCAATACTGTAGAACGTTGATAACTAAGTAGCTGATAAGTGAAGCCTATCTCAAATATATCCCTAAAAGATATACATTTACTAACTGATGACCAACTCTAGTTTGTAACATCTCAAAGCTGGGTACTAAACTCCTGAATAGAAAAACATTGCATGGCAACCAGGTACACGTGTCACTACCTGTTGTACGATCGGTCTTTTTTCGACCTTTCTAATGCTTTGTCCATTGTCTTCTCATTGTCTCCTCTGCACTTCGGACAGTACCATTTCCCTTTGGGCTTATGGTACAGGCCAACGCATGAGAAGTGAAACCATTCAATAGTGCATTCTTCATTATCACACCCTATCATCTCTCCAAAGGACACTTGCTCACACAGGCAGTAAGTGGGTTCGTTGGGATCAATCGGCAGGTCCGTCGGTGACGGCTCCCTGTCCTGCTTGCTTTTAGACCTCTTCTTCTTCTTCGATGACGTGGATGACGTCTTAGCCTTCTTCTCTTTCGGCGTGCCTGAAGCAACCTCCTCGCTTTGCTCCATGGTGCAACTGGAGTTTTCCCGGTTCTCGGAACCGTTTTTCTGCCTGCGTGAACGCTTTCCACCAGATTTGTCAACTGAAGTCGGGGTCTCATCTCGTCTACGGTCCACAGACGGCTTACTGGCCGACAGCATCGCAGCAGAAAGTGGTGTCATAGTAACGGTTGCTACGGCACTGGGGGTGCTGCCCACCGACACGGTGCTCTCCGGAGAGTCCTGGGAGGCCTGGAAAATCTCACCCTGCCACTCAAGCTGCCGGCTGCGATTCTCCACCATTTCCACCATTTGGCCAGCGATCTGGATCTTTTCATCACCGAGTTCTTCAGTGCGGATCAAAGAGCGCTGGATGCAGTGAAGTAGACGCCGCCTCTGCACAGGGTCTGATTCATGTCTGTGCTTTTCGTAAGCCTCGTCCAATTCATTGAGGATCTCTGCAAGACAAATAAACGAGGATTTGTGTAAAAATATATATATATCATACTGGCACAGACTGTATGTCAATCTATGCACTTAAAAAAAAAAAAAAAGTACCTTTATTTAACCAGGAGAAAAGACAGATTGAAAAATCTCTTTTACAGGAGTGTCCTGGCCAAGATAGGTAGCCGAGTTTGCATATACAATTATACATACAATACTAAATCCAACATGAAACCAGATAAAAACATGTACACACCATTAATTCACTTTCTAGGTTACGTAGTAAAAATTTAAAATGAAAGTTTTGTAGCTTCATCTCCGTCTGGAGAAGATTCCAATCCGGGGTGGCAGGCGTCATATTTGAAGGAAGTTTTACCAAGCTCAGTTCTGACAAGGGGCACACAAAGATTATAACTTGATTGAGAGCGTAATGAGTAATTGCCAGGCAATTGCAGCGTTATTTAATTAAATATGCACTCATTTGGCATCTGGACTTTCTTTAAAGTCAGGTTCAGTTTTTTTTTTTTTTACATACTAGAGACACAAATGTGTTTAACAGAAGGGATTTAATTAATTTTGTATCTACCGCCAGAAAAACCCCATCATGTTTTAGGAATAAAATTATTAATAAAGGAGCAAAGCCATCTGTAAAAACATTCATAATATAAATAGGAATAAAACTGTAAAGTTTGGTATATGTAAGTGCTACTGAAGTGGAGTTGGTGCTTGATGAAAAAAACTCATTTTGAGAAAACGGCCTTTAACTATATTGTAATTGAAATTAACAGATACAAATAAATTAAGTGTAATAAAATAAACATTGAAATGTAGCCCAAAGTATTAAAATTTACCAGTGCATGAAAAAAAAGAACAACAATGTTTTTTTTCCTGTAGCGTCGACATTTTACATTCGGTTGACACAGTCGCTGGCCATTCATGTGTATATGTGCAGTCTTTATGATATTTCGTATTAACGCAACACTAGCACACAACTGTGATTTCAAGCTGCATAATAATTTAGACAGGAAGTTTAGTGGCGCTTAGAATTTGCCAGACCCCTCGGTTTCATAGAAGTCGCTACACAATTGAGTTATAAATTAGATTATTTAAGGTATAAATGACAAATACATTAACCATACATATTTAACCAACTTTGTAGATTTAACCTCTCAGTGGGGGGGAAACCTGCGAGTTTCATGTGCTAACTGTTAGCCGCTAGCCAGCTAGTTAGTGTGACATCTAACACCCGTTGCTCAAACAATGCAGTGTTTTCTTCTTACACGAGTGCGAGTGTCCGTATAGTCTCACCTTGATATCTGGCGTCTATTTCCTTCATGAGAGACACACATCTCTGTAGGTCCAGCGGCAAAGACTCGACCAGCTCCAAATACTCCTCAACATATTTCACCACAACATGAGACGACTCGCCGTTTGAAGAAGGGTTCAGCATCTTTTCAAACGCATTTAAGAGGTTGGTAGGGCAATAGAAATAATAATAATTGTATCCTAGTCTTAAGAATTAAAAGTCTGGGCAGCTGAGAAAAGTTACTCATGTACGTGTTGTATTGATTTTTGCAGGACCAGTGACGCTTCTATGGCGGAGACTGAGCTCATGAATATAAATTACCTTACGCCGACGTTACTCCGTAACCTTCCAAAGGGGTGTCTAGGCACGCGGAATCTAATTAATATTCATGAGCAAAACCTTTAACGCAGAACAGAGACGCAGAATAACGGTAGTTGCACGTAACGACGCTTGGTGGCGTTTGATAGCAAGACTTCGACGCAACGGTAATTTTAGATGAATGACCGACACGTCTATGTTAGTTTTAGGCTTGGGTGGAATGGGCTGAACAGGAATTTTCGAACTGGGAACTGTATAAAAGTCTAGAGAAAAATAAATAAATAAGATTTACAAAAAAATGTACAAATTAATAAATATAAACGTGAATTCAAATAAAAAGAAAATCAGTAATACTTTGTAAGTAATTTATTACTGTATACTTACTATAAATCATTTTGCAAACTATTAGTTTATAGTTAATGCATAGTTTATATATTGTAGTCTCTATAGGCTATTAATAGGCTATAGTAAATACTGAGGACTTCATAATTAACCAAATTATTATTATTGTTTAATTAGTTCATATGTAAAGAGTTAGATCATGTTTGTTAACAATTAACCGTAAATAGTTCTCACTTTATTAGGTCACAGAAAATGGGAAAATGTCATTAATTAAGTGCTTTTATCCAACCTTTATTTGACAATAACTGCATTAGTATTAAGTGTCTCTTAAAATATAAAGTTTACTGTGATGGGTAGGGTTTGGGCTAGTGTAGAAAATATGGTTTGTATGTGTAGAGAATCTATTCGGCCTATTGAGAGTCCTTGTAAACCATATACCAACGTGTGTGTGTGTGTGTGTGTGTGTGTGTGTGTTGTGTTGTGTTTCTCCCTTCTTGTTATTCTGATATTTTAGCTTCATTATCAAGTAAGATATTCAATATCATTAATAGCCTATTACATTCAGAGTACTGTCAGTCAATCTAAACACCTGTGAATGCCTGTAGTCTTTCATGTATTATTTTAATATCTCACTCAGACATCTTGAATTTTGTCCTCTCTAAATATTCTTTAGATACTTGGATCATTTAAATCTTGTGCTGAAAGGTTAAAAGTTGCATTCTTAAAGCACCATGAATGTCCTGCAGGGGTCACTTATGTTAAGGCAATGAGACTCTGAAATGTTGTTTATCCTCAGCTCTGTTGTTTACTGGAACAACATCTATATTATTTTCTCTTGATTTTTCTCTTGTTTCCGTTACAGCCCTGAAGAGTTATCCTACATTTTTAACAGTTGTGAGAATGACCTTTAAAAAACTGTAAAGTAGTTCTTTGTACATCTGTATTATTAGCAGTAAGAATGTCAGATGACTGAAATGTCACAGTGAGAGGGGAAAATGTGTATAAAGTTCTCCAGAGGCCAGAACAGCAGTCTTCTAGTCTTACGTACTCTGACCCGAGCGGTGTTGTAAAAAATCACCTCTTACGCATTTCAGTGTCAATGGAGGATTCAGAGTTTGGACCATTGGTCACTTTCCACATTAACTTAATGTCAAGAATCAGGGTGTTGAGTAAACGCTCGCAAGCTAGGGATAATGACCATTTAAGGTTTTTTTTTTTTGAAGGAGGAGGAGGAGGCGTGGATTTAGAGACGCTCTGAAGGTAATATTTTGGGTAACACTTTATTTTAAGGTGCTTGTAATAAGCAGTAATTAACAGTTAATAAGACACTTATAAGACCTTATAAGACACTTATAAGACCTTATAAGATGCATATAAGATGCATATAAGCATTAACTAGTTCATATAAGGGTTAATTAAAGGTCCAGGCCCTGAAGAGATCAGGGAAACTACTCCCTCTTGGGAAGGTCAATTTTTAAGGGCCTGGGAGTTTGTGTTACCATTTATGTTTGTTCGGCTGTTCTAAAAGTGCAATGTATTGATACTTGAGAAATTTATTATTTAATTTAATTTATTTATTATCATTAGTTAATGCTTATATGCATCTTATATGCATCGTATAAGGTCTTATAAGTGTCTTATTAACTGTTAATTACTGCTTATTACAAGCACCTTAAAATAAAGTGTTACCATATTTTGTTGTTGTTTTCTATGAATAGTCATTTTCCACATACTTTTCACTTTTTAATTAATACTCTTACAATTTAATTCGTATTCTTAGATTTTGTTTTTCTGTCAAATGATCAGATCCCATGAATCAGCATACATTTCCCGATACATAGTCAATCCACAACTTTATTTTGCATTTCAATTATATAAATTCCCCACTTCAGTACTTTATCTTATTGTGCAAGCTCTTAATAACCCTTTAAGGTACTACTCAACCATTTGGTAGACCACACTTAAAGTCACTATATTTTATTGAAAAATGCATCAAGCTTAACTAAACCTGAATGAGCCATCTCTACCGTTTGGTGTAGTTGTGCAATGCTAAAAAAATCCACTAGATGGCACTGTGTCTGTGAGCAGCATGCCATTTCAGTGTTCCTTCCATGGTTCCTTCAAACAGCACATGACACACATGGATGACACAGCGAAAATTTGCTCCTCCTTTGATGACGCATATCGGCGGGACTTTTAAAGGTAAGACTATTTGGTTGACATATCGTTTCAGAGGAGTTGTTAAACATAATTATGTAATTTAATTAAACAAAAATAAGTCTTATAAGGGTCAAATAATTTTTTTTAAACGTGCTCTACCAAACGGTTGAGTTGTCCTTTTAAGGTAGTAAAAATTAGCTAATAAAATTAGCTAATGTTGGTAAAATTAGCTATTTACAATGAACAAAAGGGTTAGTGTTGTTAAAATGATTAATTTTAATATTATTCAATTACATATTTGATGAAAAATATTTGATCAATATCATTTTTCCTGCATTTCTGTACTGTATTATGGTAAATATCAAGAATACATTTGAAGAATTAAAACCAATTCTGGTGTTACTACTAATTTCATAATTTAAAATTGACTATGTTTGTGTATTACTATATGACTAGCATTGTAAGAGCCATCAATAGCAGCCACAGATTTTTTTATTGGTCAAGAAAATGCACTTAATATGACTTGTTCTGAATGTTGTTCTTTTATTATGAACAGACGTCTCAACCGTTTGGTAGAGGATATCTAAAATACTGTAAGGTCTAATTAAAAAATTTTTTTTGATTGTTGTTATTGTTATCATAATTGAATAAAAAATGCAAAGAAATAATTTTTCCTTTGCTTTTTTCATGGTGCGTACCTTAAAGGGTCTTAATTATTTGTAGTATATTTGTTAAATCTTAATATTTACCATAACATGCTGTAAAAGGATTACAGAATGTTTGCTCCCGTCTATTTCTTTTCTTCAGGAAGCTGCCGAGAATTAATGACTCCAGATTTCCCATGACGTAAACTCATTGTCCAGGCCCTTTCAGTATAAACACTCCTCTTGTCTTTGATGAATCTCATGACCCATCATAGAGTCACAATGTCCTATAGATTACAGTTACCGTTAGCTCACTTTAAGTACTCTTCCACAGTCAATTCATTTCCGTTGGATAATATGTAATTAGGCTCATGGTTTAGAGTCATCCGAATTGGTTTTCAGGTATTTGGTAATGGGTGGGGGTTAGAAAGGTTAGGAACGTTGATTGACTTCATCAATGAGTTCATCAATACAAGTTAAATAAGTGCTGATGGTGCTGAGCCTCCTGGTGAGTAGCCTAACTCCTCTCCAGTCTCTCTCTCTCTCTCTCTCTCTCTCTCTCTCTCTCTCTCTCTCTCTCTCTCTCTCTCTCTCTCTCTCTCTCTCTCTCTCTCTCTCTCTCTCTCTCTCTCTCTCTCTCACACACACACACACACACACACACACACACACACACACACACACAATGACCCTGGAATTTATTGCGTAAGTTTAAATTATTAAATCACTTCAGATTACCATAAATAAAGGGAAATAGGAGACCCAGATTTATTTTTTCTTTGTGTAAGGTTGTGTTTAATGCATCTCAGTACTTGTATTTCTTTAAAAAAGGATTTGTGGACATTTGTGAGACTTCAAATAACTGCTAGCTTTACAATTGACCCAAAAGCATTTGGACTCTTAAACTACACTTAAATGTCTTGACATTATATAACAAAATATCAAATGGCATGGCATTTATATGGAAGAATGACAGTACAAGCAAAATGTTGGACCATATTATTACTAATAAATACTGTTGACTCAAAGGCCAAATCAAATTTAATTGCATCTTCATTCAAGACAAAAATAAACATAAAACTAAGACCATAAATTACATTTTTTAATGCCCTCTTTGCTGCTTTTGCTGTACTTTTTCAGATGCTCAAATGCAATGTCAGCGGTTCTCAGATAAACCCCTTCCTCCAATTCACTTTCTTATCGTGCCTGTTTTTTGCCACCCACTTCCTGTTTATCCTCCGTATTTCTTCATCTCTTGGTTGGTGTTTCTTCCTTCATTCTGAGACAAAATCTTATTCCTGTACGACCCCAGAAGTTGTTGGGAAAAGAGAACACAATTTAGATGCGGAAAAACTCCCTGTACAAAACTTAAGATTTCTATTAACCAATTAATAGGTGAATAACTGCGCAGTCACACTTATGTTACTCTTGAATGTATCTTTGTTGACATTGCAGACATACATGAAGAGGCTCTCCCTCTCCACATGTTCCTACTAGTCAATGTACAACACATAAGTCTACACACAGACTATTTATGTAACTAGATTGCATAGTCTGAGAAACAGTGACTACTTGTACATGTATATGTGATCAGACATTTTTCTGTGATACAGTCATATAGTCCCTAAATCAGTTAGATTCACTCTTGTTTATAAAGTTTAGATGGAGAATATCCTGGCATGCTGTTACGCGGGGTGTGTATTGTATGTGTGTGAGAGCCCGTGTATATAGTGAAACTAGAGACGAAGAATGAGAAGCCGGTGGATCGCTGTCTCCTCTTATGGTGACAAGCAGTTAATCAACATGATTTTGACTTTTTATGGTCTTCGAGCTGCTCAGTGCCACTGCTTGATAAGGACATTCATTCCCTCTCCTGTCATACTGGTTTCCTCTCACTGGCTGGTGTCTTTTCCGGCATCACTGGCGGCTAATCAGCCTGGAGACTTTAAGCTTTAATGTAGTAGATAGTGCTACAGTGCATTTAGAAAGTATCCAGACCCCTAAAAACTTTTTATATTTTATGTTGCTGCCTTATGCGAAATGTTTTCAATTAAAATTCTTTTCCACAACAATCTACACTCTACACTTCATGGCAAAGCAAGAACTGCGTCATATAGGTGACGCCATATGACATTTCGTCGAAATCTTACGCACATGGCATCCTTTAGCGTCAATATAACACGCACTGTTATGGGTAGGTTTAGGTCTGGGGTAGGGTACGGTTATGACGCCTTGGGATCTGCGTCTCATATTCACGCTAAACGATGCCATGTGCGTTGGATTTAGACGAGCGTCACCTGTATGACGCCTTGGGTTCTGCGTCTCATATTGATGCTAAAGGATGCCATGTGCGTAAGATTTCAACGAAATGTACAAAGCGTCACATGTATGACGTCAAAGGATGAGAACGGGCTGAAATCTCTGTCTCCCGACGGTCCGAGGATCTGCGGAGGAAAATTGCAGAAAATCCCCAAATCCAGATGTGCAAAGCTTGTTGCATCATTTTCAAAAAGGTCCTTCATTATATAGTTATGGGTCCGAATACTTATGCATTGGCATATTTCAGGAGTTTCTTTTTAATACATTTATAAAAGTATCACAAATTAGTTTTTTACTTTGTAATTATGGGGCCTGGAGTGTAGATTGTGATTTAAAAAAAAAAAAAAAAGCATTTTAACATAAGGCTGCAACATAACAAAATGATAACAGTATTAAGGGGTGTGAATACTTTCTAAATGCACTGACACTGTAAATGTGCTTGTAAAAGAACGATTGTCAATTCCTTTTCAAATAAAGTGTGTTCACCTTGTGTTGTAATATGCAGTGTGCTCTTCTGTTGCAGAGAGCCGGACACAGAGGGGTATGACGCCACACAGCTGAGGTTACTGATGGTCACATCATCAGGAAGATGTACTCGATTCTCCATAATAAAAAACGTGTCAACCTTCTTGACAGAAGTGTGTTTGAAGGAAAAGTTCAAGGCAGGTTCCCAGTGAAGAGTGGGTTCCCTTTCAAGGGAACTTCGAGCTGCGTTTGAGACGCGGTGGGAACGCTCTGCGTGATTGCGTCATGAAGCACGTGTAAAATCAGTCCAATGGAAGCCCGATACGTCATAGGTGACGTCATAGACCAGGAAACTATAAAGCACCCTTGAAAACAGACCGCGACAGCTTCTGTTGTCTTCAGTAAGCGCTCTCTGTTACTCTGTCCTTGTCTATTTATTGTTGTCTGTCCGATCATTTATATATATATCATTATGGCGAGCAAGCAAGATTACAAACGTTGTGTTGTCCCTTGCCCTCGTTTCATTACGGGTGGGGACACACATCAGATGTGTGTTGCTTGTTTGGGAGTGGAGCATGCTCAGTCGGTCCTCGAGGGGGCTGACTGCGAGCATTGCATGAGTTTGTCCATGAAAACTCTCCGCTCTCGCCGGGCATTCTTTGAGGAGGATGGTTCGGTTCGTGTTCCCCGAGGTGCGGGTCCCGCGGCTGCCGAGGCACTGCGGCGGCGTTCATCTTGGGGTTCACATATGGATTTAGTAGCGGGGTTTGAGACGGGCCCCGCCCTTTCTCAGCCCTTACCTGCTGGACCCGGTGTCCCAGCCCAGGAAGGAGCCCGCTCTGCGGTTTCTCCTCCCCAGGTTGAGGCACCACTGTTGCGGCTATCCAGTTCTGAGGAACTGGATGTCGTGGATATGGGGGAATTTGAGTTTTCGCCAGCTCATACCCCTGCTGATGAGGAGCTTATGGAGGTTTTATCTCGTGCTGTTACTAAATTAAATATTGAGTGGCCAGCTGATGATATTGATGTTGAATCAAGAAAGAGTCTTCTAGATGAACGTTATTTACCATCTAGATCACGACCTCCTCGTCGGGAACTCCCGTTTTTTCCTGATCTTCACACTGAGGTGTCCAGATCGTGGAATAAACCGGCGTCTTTCAGAGTTCATAATCCTCAAACTAGTAATTATAGTAAAGTTAGAGGTATGGATAATTACGGTTATTTGACGATGCCTCGTGCGGAAGAGACGCTTGCGAGCTATCTCTCCCCCGAGTCAGCGTCATCACTGAAAGCCCCGACGTTACCCACCAGACCATTAAATACATCAATGCTGGTGGGTAAAGCGTATTCGGCAGAAGGTCAGGCTGCAGCATGTTTACATACGATGTCGATTTTACAAGCTTTTCAGGCTGACCTGCTGAGGGACATGGATGATTGTGAGGAAGTTAGTGCTGAGACTGTTCGTGAATTACGTCGCACAACCGATCTATCTCTCCGGGCCACCAAGGAGACGGCTAAATCAGTTGGCCGTTCTATGGCAGCCCTGGTGGCCACGGAGCGTCATTTATGGTTGAATCTTTCTGAAATCAAGGATAAAGATAGATCTGTTCTTCTGGACGCACCGCTTTCTCCTACAAGTCTGTTCGGCGATGCTATAAATTGTGTTGTCGATAGGTTTCAAGAAAATAAAAAACAAGCGGCTGCGTTTCAGAGGTTTCTTCCTCGCCGGTCCAGTGTCCCCGAGGCTGCGCGTAATATAAAGATAGAGCAGCCTCGTCCGTCTACGAGCTCCGCACACAGATTCCAGCAGAAACAGAGCGTCGCTGCTCGGGCTCCTCCACAATCTGGGGTTCCCGAGTGGCGTTCGCAGTCCAGGCCTGGTGGGGGTAGACAGGATCTGAGGACTGTCATCTCCAAGAGAGCCTGGACTAAGAAGAAGTCCTGACGCCGAGTGTGCCAGGCTTCTGAGGGTGGTCCCTTCCAAGGAGGAACGATTCCGAGGAACCGTTTCTCTTTGGCGCCCTCCGGGGGGCGATTCTCCGAGGAGAGTCGCAGCGTTGCCACGTCGGTTGTTCCCTGCCGGTTCGCCGTTTCAGGGCACCGAGGTGTCAGCGTCCCCGTACAATCCTCTGAGGAGGGTTGTAGAACGGTCAGTTCGGTTGTTCCCTGCCGGTTCGCCGCTTCAGGGCGCCGAAATGATTGTTCAATCAAATCCAGAGGCCAGTCTCGAGGGACTGGTTCCCTTATCAGAATTTCTGGCAGCGTGGAAACTTCTGCCAAATATTTCTTTATGGGTCCTGCACATAATAGAAAAGGGTTACAGAATTCAGTTCGGTTCTCGTCCGCCCAGATTTCAAGGGGTCCTTCCCACAGTGGTGGACCCGCAGCAGGCTCTGGTTATGGAGCAGGAAGTTCTGACACTTCTTCAAAAAGGAGCGATAGAGAGGGTGCCTCCTCCCAGCAGAGAGTCAGGGTTTTACAGCCGTTACTTCATTGTTCCGAAAAAGGATGGAGGGTTGCGTCCTATTCTAGATCTGCGCCAGTTAAACAGCAGAGTTCAGAAACTCAAGTTCAGGATGCTCACACTCAAGCAAATTGTTCACAGATTCAGTCCGAGGACTGGTTTGTCACAATAGACCTGAAAGACGCCTATTTCCATGTATCTATCCATCCTCATCACAGGAAGTTCCTGAGGTTCGCTTTCGGGGGCGAAGCTTACCAGTATCGGGTTCTGCCGTTTGGCCTAGGTTTATCACCCCGCACCTTTACAAAATGCGTGGATGCAGCTCTGGCTCCCTTGAGACTCCAGGGCATTCGCGTATTAAATTATATCGACGATTGGTTGATTTTAGCTCAGTCAGAGCAGTTGGCGGTTCGGCATCGAGATGTCGTTCTGTCTCACATAAAGGAGTTGGGGTTGCGGCTCAACACCAAGAAGAGTGTTCTCCTCCCTACTCAGAGGACCACTTTTTTAGGTGTAATTTGGGATTCGACCACAATGCAGGCACGTCTGTCTCCTGCTCGGATCACTGCGATTCTCACAGCCGTAAAAAATGTAAAACTAGGCCAGTCACTCACTGTGAAACAGTTTCAGAGACTGTTGGGGCTCATGGCAGCAGCGTCCAACGTGATTACTTTTGGCCTGCTGTACATGAGACCCCTGCAGTGGTGGCTCAGAACCAAGGGGTTTTCTCCGAGGGGAAATCCGTTCCGCAAGATCAAGGTCACGCGGCTATGCCTTCGTGCTTTGGTCATGTGGAAGAAACCTTGGTTCCTCGCCCAGGGCCCAGTGCTGGGAGCTTCTTGTCGACGCGTCACGCTTTCGACGGATGCTTCCCTCACAGGATGGGGGGCGGTCATGAGTGGCCGCTCGGCGCAAGGTCTTTGGCAGGACCATCATCTGTCATGGCACATAAATCGTTTGGAGATGATGGCGGTATTTCGAGCTCTCAAATATTTCCTGCCAGACCTGAGAGGCCATCATGTGTTGGTTCGTACGGACAACACGTCAGTGGTTTCTTATATCAACCATCAGGGGGGTCTGAGGTCACGTCACCTTTGCAAGCAGGCCCATCAGATCCTCCTATGGGCCCAGGGGAAGTTGCTATCTCTCAGAGCAGTTTACATTCCGGGGCGTCAGAATGTGGGAGCAGATATACTGTCAAGGCAGGGGCTGAGGCCCGGGGAGTGGAGACTTCACCCCGAGGTGGTGGAGCTCCTGTGGGAGAAATTTGGTCGTGCTCAGATAGACCTTTTCGCATCCTCAGATACAACCCATTGTCCCATGTGGTTCTCTCTCACGCACCCAGCTCCTCTCGGACTGTATGCGATGGTGCAGGTGTGGCCGAGGCTGCACCTGTATGCTTTTCCCCCGATATCATTGCTCCCGGGGGTTCTGGAGAGGGTTCGCCGGGAAGGGGCCCGTCTGCTAATAATAGCCCCTTACTGGCCGACTCGAGTTTGGTTCTCGGACTTGGTGTCTCTTCTGAACGGCTCTCCCATGGAGATTCCAATCAGGAGGGACCTGCTGTCCCAGGTAGAGGGCACGATTTTTCACCCTCGGCCGGAGTTGTGGAAACTGTGGGCCTGGCCTCTGAGGGGGCCAGGCTCATAGAATCCGGTCTCTCGACTGAGGTCGTTGAGACCATTCTCCATTCCAGAGCCCCTTCCACGAGAAGACTTTATGCGCTGAAATGGAAATTATTCTCCACCTGGTGTGGTGAGCGTCAGTTAGATCCTGTTAACTGCCCTGTTGGTTCAGTTCTCGATTTTCTGCAAGACCGTTTCTCTGCTGGATTATCTCCTTCCACCTTAAAAGTGTATGTGGCGGCTATAGCGGCCTATCATACCCCTCTGGGGGGTACTTCTATTGGGAGAGATCCTCTGATTATTCGTTTTCTCCGTGGTACATTGAGGTTGAGACCTGCACTGCACTCTAGAGCACCGGCTTGGGATTTAGCCATTGTACTTGAGGGTCTGGCTCTGGCTCCCTTCGAGCCTATTGAAGAGGTTTCAGAAAAATTCCTCACTTTGAAAGCTTTGTTTCTCCTTGCTATTTCTTCTATCAAGAGAATTGGAGATTTACATGCCCTGTCGGTTGCTCCTTCATGCCTGGAATTTGCACCTGGTATGGTGAAGGCATTTCTATACCCTAAACCGGGCTATATACCTAAGGTCCCAGTGAATGTTGGGGGTCCAATAGTGTTGCAGGCCTTTTATCCTCCACCTTTTAATACCCCAGATCAGGAACAATTGAACCTGTTATGTCCAGTTCGGGCATTAGATGCCTACGTTCACAGAGCTGCCCTGTGGCGTAAGTCAGAGCAATTATTTGTATGTTTTGGGTCACCCAGAAGAGGGTGCCCTGCATCGAAACAGGTTATGAGCAAATGGATAGTCGAGGCTATTTCATTGGCTTATGAAGCGGCCGGTCAGCCTTCACCTATGGCTGTACGGGCCCATTCTACTAGGAGTATGGCGGCCTCTACGGCCTTAGTTTCGGGTGTTTCCCTTCTTGACATTTGTAATGCGGCAGGCTGGTCCTCTCCGCATACATTTGTCAGGTTTTATGACCTTGACCTCTCCACTCCTGGGGCGAGGTTGCTTGCTTCTTAGTGTGCGCCAAGGACTTCACACAGAACGGGCATTTGTCACTATGGCGTAGTGGGTATGGGGTTCCCACCGCGTCTCAAACGCAGCTCGAAGTTCCCTTGTAA